GTCTGTCCCGTGTGTAGCAAGTGAAAATAAAATAAAATAAACAGTAAAAGGTGAATCGAATAGACCAATATAGCGAGGCTGGGACGGTCCATTTGGTAAAGTAAATCCGTTGGGCATCTTTCTTTGCCTTTAGACAAAAATTCTGATGCAAAAGAGCCAAACGGGACAGGCGGGAAAAAAAGAAAAAAGAACTAAATGTGAACGCGGCAAGAAGATTATGGTTCAACATTTTTGTTTTCTTTATGTTCATGTATGTCGTGATGTGCAATGTGTATCAAAACTAACACAACACCAGTGTGTTACGTGACCTCTAGATGCACGGTGTTACCAACTTTACAGATGTGTAACTGTCAGTGACTCTACCACCGTTTGAATGGCTCAGCATGCTGACTTTTGGAACCGTGTAATCTTTAAAACTCTCGATACAAGATCAGACCATTTATTAAATATGTCAAGTGCAATTAAAGTGCACTTTGCATAAACTTTACTGCATTACATGTAGAAAGCAACTAGAAGCAACACCGTGATTACAGTGCATTACTGCACACACTGTATTGCACACAGAGCGAGAATTACTTTAACAATTTCCATTAAAACCTGCTATGAAGTTGTAATTAAAGTACGTGTCTCTCTTTTAAGGAAATGTACATTTAATCCTAAAGAGGGAATAGACAACCCAGTGATGGTCATCACAGATGATGCAGGTACCCCGCTTGCCTGTGTAGTAGCCATTGGGCAAAGCCTGCTTGCTTTATGACAGCTCTCTTGTGTCTCTTCTGGTTCAGGCTCTGTGTGGACGCCCATCCCGCGCTCGTGTATCCTTAAACGCGAGGATGGCGAGTTCTACGGCTTCCATCTGCGTGTGGAGAGGGGCCGTCAGGGACACATAATTAGTCATGTGGTATCAGGTGGGGTCGCAGAGCGTAGCGGCCTTCGAGACGGAGACAGACTGCTAGAAGTCAACAACTGCTATATTGATGATGTTCCTCACCCTGAGGTAAGACAAGCTTCCTTCATAGTTAAATAGAAACCAGAGAAGCAACACAAAGCTGTCTAACTGGATCTGTCACGTTTCCAAATGTATAAATCAGGTGGCTAGGAAGATAAAGGTAAGCGGACGCCAGTTGTGTTTATTAGTGCTGGATGGAGAGGATTATGAACGGGCTGTGTCCCGAGGTCAGGACCTGCAACGTCTGGCCCACATGGATGAGAGCTGCAAACCACCCAGGCTTTGTCACATCACCAGGGATCCTGTCTCAGGTCTGGGCATCACCGTTACTCCTTTGGAAGGTAAAACGTCTCCCTGTAATCACAAGAAGCCTAAGATTTGAGATCAGATGTCCAGGTCGAAGTCTGTGCAGTGTTATTCAGATGCTGCTCCTGTTTCGGCTCCGTAGGAGAGAAAGGTCGCTTTGTAGTGAACCCGGTGGCAGGAGGTGCAGCTGAAAAGGCAGCGGTGCGTCAGGGAGATCGGCTGGTGTGGATAGACGGAGCGATGGTGTCTGATCTCACACACTCCGCACTCAGCAAAATGGTTTGTGGACTTTTTGTAACTGTGTGATGCAGCAGATAATACATCAGGTTATCTTTGGTCTAACAATAATATCTCCATATATTTTATTGTAGATGAAGAAATGTGGTGATCACATCACCATCTTAGTGATCGACAGCGAGAGTGAAAAGAAGTACACGCAAAGGCGGCTCCCCGTCCTGCCCACCATGGCTACCCCTCATCAGCTACCTTATAGAGCCCGAACACTCCACCTGACCTCTGTGTCTGAGAGCTTTGGTTTTCTTCTACGACTGGAGAAAGTGCCATCAGGACGCACATGTGAGATGATGAAAAATTGGTGAAAACTGAATCATTTTCACTGTTTTGCTGTTAAATAAACTGGGTACATATTAACCAACAGATCACGTCCTGCGTGAAACGACCAGAGGCAGTCCTGCAGAGAGGGCGGGTGTGAGGGATGGAGAGCTGCTGCTGGAGGTCAACGACGAGTCAGTGGAGTCACTGAAGCACGAGGAGGTTGTGGACAGAGTGAAGCTGAGCGGACGAGAGGTCCGTCTCACCACCATCACTCCCAAGGGGCTAGAGTTTTATACGCAGGTGGCCATCACTTACCACATACGTGCACTGCTTTTCCAGTTGATTCAAGTGTACATCGAGGGTGGTGCACCCATTTGGAGGCCACACCTGATACTGGGATATTGTTACGTCTTTCCTTTGTTTTCTCTCCTGCAGCTGGGTCTGTCTCCGCTTCTTTTCTGTGAGGATGATGCAGCTGATGAAGGAAAGGAGAGTAGTGTGCTGACTTCTGTAGAGGAGAACTCACCACCAAAGGAAACGCATGCCTCAAGTCATCTTAGACTCTGCTCTCTCCACAAAGGCCCTTTGGGATTTGGCTTTAAATTAGGCTGTGACCCACAGAGTCCTGGGACTTTCATCAGTCAGGTTTTTGTGTTCTTTTGCATAAACACACACACAGAAAAGTCATAAGCTTCAGTTTTGTGTCAAATCTTGTAAACTTTTTTTTACTTGGCCTCGTAGGTTGCTTCTGGGGGTCCTGGGCAGAGTGCTGGACTGCTTGTGGGTGACGTAGTGATGGAAGTCAATGGACAAAGTGTGGACGGAAAACCTCTGGAAGATGTGACTATGCTTGTGGAAGAAGGTGGGCACATTCCTTCATTGCTAGTCACACATACGACACGCTACACCAAGATGGAACAGACTGAAGCACCCAGCAAAGATGTCACTCGCACAGAGGTGGCAAAACAGTTTTTAACTTTGTGTTTGTATCTCAGCAGGAGGAAGAAGATAACCAGATCTCAGCTTTGTGAGCGGAACAGATATAAACCTGGAAGACATTTCCCAGCACGATGCTCCCACTCAAGAATTCCAGATTTTAATCCTTGCCAACATTTTCAACACACAACTTCACTTAGATAGGATGCAATCAAACTAGAAACAAAATGCTTCACGGCTTAAACGACTCTCTGGTTAAACAACAACAAATGGCCCTCCCCCCCCTCCCATATCATGGTGGACTTGAAGCTCTTTCCCCCCATGTCCACTGCTTAAACAGTTTTTTGTGTTTAATGCTACTTTAAACACCTGACTGATCAAATTCTCCCATCACAAGAAAGATTTTTGAAAGCCTGAAACAGACCAGATGCAAGTACGAGAGCTCTCTTTAAAGGCATTTGTATCATATTTGATACATTTAATAGTTTTTGGGACTTGTGATCTTTTCCCCTGAAAAAGCAAAATCAATAACACAAAACATTCTTGAGCAAAGATTAAAAAACAAAAAGATGTAGCAAATATTGTGCAATTAAATCAATTTCATCAACACTCCAATAAAATAATAATGATGTTCAGGCTTTATTAATAACACTGAGTGTTGCAGGCAGGATTGGACCAAACGAGGTGAACTTAAGAAACTCGGTTTATTACAGGAAAATAAGAAGAACAAAAACTAACTGAACTGGGAAAACAAATAAACTAACAGGCAGGCAAACAGAAGACACAGCGAGACCGAGGGTGAGCAGACATTAACAATACGACAGAGAACAAAGGAAACACGGGGCTTATATACACAGGGAGTAGTCAGGGAATGGAAAACAGCTGGGAGGGATTGGACTGACGAGGTAAAACTGAACACTCTGACACCAGACACGAACCTTCAAAGTAAAACAGGAAACAAGAAACAATTTACAAGGACGCAGACTGACACCGATCTAAATCTAGAATAATAATCAAAATAGCACAACTACAGAACCAAAACATAAATCATAATACAGAAATATACCAAAATATAAGAAACTGACCCAGAACCGTGACAATGAGGAGAAGAAATCACACTTTTGTTGTGGCTTTTCATAACAGGTGAATTCTCCAGAACAGTCCCACATATACGATACACATAAAAGTAGAAACACAATTCAAACTACAGTAATATGCACATTTTATTGTATTTTTTCTAAAACAACGTTTATCTGAAAATGTCATTTACATCAGTGAAAACGCACTTGGAGTGCAGAGGATGCTTTTTTAGTGCCTGTAATGAACTGCACAGACAAAGACACAAAACAAAGAAAATGAAAATGATAATCAAGTTTCCAGTGATTGTCTCCTTTCAGACTATAATTCCCAACTTTGTACATCTACAAAAATTCTTTAGTCTAGATTTTCAGCTTTCCTCCTTCCAGCTCACTCATCCTCCCAACGTTTGATGATGTAGTTTGTTTTTTTAAAAGAAAATAAAATCCTGGAGACTTTGTTTTGCAGCAAAACAAAACAGTAATCATTGTTTAACAAAATATGAACATTTTATTGGGCAAAATGAGCGACAAGGTGAAAAAAATCAAAAGGAATGTTTCCATATGAGGAGGCTAATACGACTAATGCAGTTATTCATATATACATATGTGCATATGTGCTTCAAGAAAGCAGAGGATTAACCATACAAAGAAACAATATGTTCTATGATTTTCTTTAAGCAGGACAAAATGATTAGTGAAACTAAAATATAACAGCTGGTCACTTTTAACAGGAGAAACCTTCGGTAAGAACCAGGCTCAGAGAGGAGCAACCAGGCTCCGGCTGGGGGTGAGGGGAGACAGGAAATGAGAAACAAAACGAGAGCAGAGAAAAACAGGACAAAACACACACGACAAGCGTTGATGACAATCAGCTGTGATGTCCAAACACACTGTGAGTGAGACTGAAACACTCAGTGCACTGAGCATTGTCCCATGATAATAATAATAGATTGGATTTATATAGCGCTTTTCGAGAACCTCAAAGCGCTTTACAATACCACTATTCATTCACTCTCACATTCACACACTGGTGGAGGCAGCTACAGGTGTAGCCACAGCTGCCCTGGGGCAGACTGACAGAAGCCAGGCTGCCATATCGCGCCATCGGCCCCTCTGGCCAACACCAGTAGGCAAGTAGGGTAAAGTGTCTTGCCCAAGGACACAACGACCAGGACAGAGAGCCCCGGGGATTGAACCGGCGACCTTCCAGTTACAGATGCGATTCCCAACCCCCTGAGCCACGGTCGCCCCAATGCACTGAGCAACAGTCTTGGGCTATAATTCTTATCCAAGTGATCCATCAAGGAGGAAGGTTTAGAGTCTAATCTGCGTCTGCATGTCTCGGGATGTTGTCACCAGGATAAAAAAATACTATTAAAAAAATGAGTTGGACTGTTCCAAAAGCCAGTGTCAGCCTCTCGCTGACAGCTCCACTTTATGCATGCTTATTAATCTGTCACACCATCAGTGGCTCGTGGTCACTTAAAGCCTATGTACTACAGAGGCAGAGCAGCATTCAGTCCTAGCTGCCTTTCCTGGCAGATCTCTGCTTTCTCTGCAGCGAGACAGCTCAAAACCTTTTATCAGTCTTTCCTGACCTGGTGCTCCTATATAATCTGCTATGATGGGAAAAGCTTGATTTACATTAAAAACCTCTTGTTGTCTAAATACCCTGAAATTTGTTGTTATATTGAGTCAGAAATGTAAAGAATTATAAATGCTGCATAGTATCGTCCTTAGTCATGAATGGCTTTCACTGGAACACGTCCGTTCTGTACGTACAAAGGGAACAACAGCTCCTGTGTTGCACTGCTACATTGTCTTATCTAATGTATGTTTATCATGTTAAAAGTCTGACTTATTATGACCATTTTTTCAAAGACAGAAAAAAGATAAAAAGTTGATTCTAATGATAGACTATCCTTTCAACATTTATTTCTGTACTCAGTTTAATTTGATGTTTAACGTTAATGTTTAACTTATGTCCCATGGTTTAATAAAAATCACATTAAAATTATGTGGTCCTACAAGAAAAAGCTTTTGAGAATCTCATATGATTACAGCATGTCCAATCTCACCTGTTATTTGGAAAAATAATGCTGGGAAAGTCATTTTAGTCCTTGCCTAGCTCAATGCAGGAAGTAAAAACAGTCTCTCCAGAGGTGGAAGAAGATCTCTCCCACATGTTTCACCAGATATTACTGAGTATCAGAAGCGTGCCATCTCGTCTAACCTCACTGGTACCTGTCCTAGCCTGTGCAACAGGCTTCCTTCGTCTGTAGAGTTGCAGCGATAACTAATGCTTGCTTCGCCTTTGCATCGTCCTCTTATCACAAAAATGAGTGACTTTGTCTCATTTTTGCAAACATAAACTGAGCACAAAAATTGAGGCAATTTGTGTTTGTTCAGTCTTTTCTTTGTTGTAACTATGCTTCTTGGCTATAAAGGTCTTGCTGCTGGAAAGCCCGTTTATTTCCCCTTCAATGGTGTCACGTTTGTAAGGAAAATGTGGGTTGAGCAGCAGAGTTGAGTATGTGGGCTGTGGCCATGAAAAACTCGTCGAATGTTCTCTGCCAATGCCGGACAGCTTATTCTGCTACTGACACTTGTTGGGTGTCATTTACTGAATTCTGAAGAATATCTGCAATTAAATGGTTTATTCTTTTAACAAATAGGGGCCTCAGTAACACGTGGAAGGACCATACACAGCCACAACAGCCTGGCAACTCCTGGTCACGCACTGCGACTCAGCCAGTGTGTGACCAAGGTGGTGTTGGGTTTTAGTTCATTCCCAAAAGAAAAATTAAAAGATATTCTGTAGAAAACATCCAAGATGTTGGGCCTAAATACCCCCATCATGAAGTTTTGCACTCAAGCTTGTATCTTCTTCTGATTCTACAAGTTCATTTTTAGTTTAAGCTCAAGCCCCAAACAGTCATTTTATCCTGTTTTCCTACAACAGAAATATTTCTACACTTACACGACACATGTTGACACTCACACTGTTCAATGCTTTTATTTTGAAATTTGTCAATCCAGGAAGCCAAATGGAAAACATAAAGTACAGATTTTATTTGAAGAACAGAGTTAGCAAGTTTTTAGCCCATGAAACAGTTCAGCAAACAAAGCAACAAAAATGCGCTTTAGGAAGCAAAGTGTTTAAAATAGCGAATTAAGAATGAAAGACTCGCCCGAGTTTCCTTAATTTAATTTGTCCAGAAAGGAAACGTAAATCATGAGCCTGAGGAATGCTTGAAACTTTATGCAAAACACTCGTGGAGGGTGTGAACAGAAACCAAACAGCCAACAAACGGTATCCACTACGTGAAGAATGGCGCCATCTCGTGGCCTCCTTCTGTCACTACACCTTCAAAGATTTGTGAAAAATGCTTCAAAGTGACGTTTTTTCACCAGCAGAGCAGCTTCAGTCGATGACGTCACTGAAGAGCCAGAAAAACCAAGTTAACCTGTGACGTGCATCATCATCATCTTCATCATCATCATCATCATCGTTATATTTGGATAGTTGGTGGAGAAATATCAGTAAACAGTTGGCAGCGTTCCTCGCAGCATTCAGTAGCGATTAGTCTACATTTTCTCCGCGTTTTTAAAGAGCTGAAAGACTTCACAGCATTTTTAAGGACTTTGTCATCACTCTGGACATTTTAAAAGTCTGAAACCAGTCAGCTAAAGTTTGAGAGCTGTGCTGCTTTAGTTTCCTCCAGACTGTTTTCATCCCAGAAGAATGGACAGAGGAGACGGACGAAGAGACAACCCGATTCAAAGTAAGAGTGTGATCGGTTGGAAGGCTACTGTTATTCCCCATAGGCAGTATCAAAAAGCTCCATACAGCTGTTATTCATGGGGTTCACGACAAAGCAAAGGTGTATACAGTTAATACTAATTCATATTAGGTGCCATAAGCATAAAAACGATGTAAATGCGATAAGAAAATTGTTATTATTTTTCACGTTGCATTAATGGTTGTCATCAAGAGACCCCGATCTGTACATTACTCATCGGCTAGTAAGCCTTCTCTGGGATCGACTGGTAGTGACTCCACCCTCCACCAGGGGGCTTTCACGCGTTCTCCTCTTTGCATTAAACTACTGCATGACAGAGACAACTAAATATCACTCTGTGATCCTTTCCCCTTGTTTTCAGGGCTGTGACAGGAGTGTGGTCTCTCTTTGCAGT